AATTTGACATGTCAAGGCTAAAATTTGCAGACTGATATAATAATAATTTTTTGAAAGACAGGAACATTTAGACATTTTTGACTTAATTGTAATACTTACAATAAATAGTATGTATGACAAATAATTAAATATTAATAAAGTATTATACAACTATTAATAAACAACAAGATATCATTACTTATAAATACTATTTTAATATTAACTAATAATTATTTTTATGATTTTGTAATCTACAACTTTGTGACAAACCTGTAAACATTTTATTATTAAATCAAAACAATTTAGAATTAATTACTGCATAAATAAATATAACCCAGTTTAAGATACATTTTTGTAATACCAGACAACGTATCTATCAAAAGTTGTGAGTATATAATTGACAGTATGTGTGCACTTACCTCATCGGGGTCGAGCACAGATGTCTCGTACACTAAACCCTTCATGCCTCTCATTCCTCCATAAACCTGTTATACACAAAACATGACACAAACATTATTGAAATACCATATGTCAACACCTGTTTCTGAGCTACAACCCTTCAATTTACTTCAGACCTCTAGTTCAAGTGTCATATATGAGAGCAATAATGCCCCTCAGGTGCAGTTTAATCGGCAAAATAGAATAACTGGCTGTGAGACAAAGACCAAATGACTCAGCTGAAACAACGGCCATGAGAGCAGCAGCACTCACACCACAGCCTGTGGGTCCTTGACAAAACAGCCATCCAATTAGAGGGCAAAAACTATTACTGTTTGTGGTGGTTTGCAGCACTACATCATGTGAGATTGGACTGGTCAGATATGTTAGGCAACATTTGCTTGTTACATCAGTCAGATGAAACAACCTGGCTGAGTTCACTAGCTGGATATCATAAATTTAAGCCAGTGATTTCAAACATGAAGCATTTAAGGTAGAAAGAAAAGACTATTAGTAATAAAAATAATATTAATAATTAAAAATATTAATAAATACTATAATAGTGTAGATATAGGTATACATATAATTCTAAAATAACCCAGCATCCACAACAGGTTTATAATTATTACAACTCATTTGGTGGATTGTAATGTAGCCTAAAGTGATGACCGATAAAAAGCATACAGACATGATTTACAGTAACGGTGAATGCAGTGATCTTTCTCTCACCATGTCCACTGTGATCTGACCAACTGTGGTTTTGCCATGCTGCTGTCTGAAGTTCTTGATCCTGCTCTGTTCTTTAGGGATGAGGTCTGCCAGGACATCTTTCAAATTCTGTATAAGGTCAAGGGAAAAAGTCAGTTTTCAGGTAAAGGATCAGGCACAGATTTAACAACTGTCTTGTACATGTATTATAAAAGAGGTTCAAAAAAAGTAGCCCCAGACATAGTGATAGTGACTCAACCATTCCATCAAAAGCAAGGCTGCGATCTAATCTCTGTAGTGCAATTAAAATCTAAAGTCTGGTTGTGGCTGTGATCATTGATCCGGGATATCTGCAGTGATGCAAACACGTACCGTGGATGCGCTGACATTTCTGGCAGCCACAACAACACATGCTGCATTCTGGAAAAGAAAGAAAAACAATCACTTTGATGAAAGATTGCAGAGGAAGCTGATCGTCATAACCTGGGCTAATAGTCAGATTTCACCGCAGAAGTCCTGTTGACAGCTGCAAGGAAGGTGACTTTAGTTGCACAACGCAAAATACATCAGTTGCCAATTTCTTTGTATTCAAATTACAAGCTACTTACTACAAGTTTCTACTGGACCAAATGTTTTCAACTGGCTCTGAACATCAAAACCGTTAAAGCATTTTTCCATCATAACATTTTACAACTTTGGCAATTAGCTGCTGTTTTGGTCTAAAGAGAGTTACAGCACATTTATTGTGTAGACAAAACTGCTAGAGCAACCAGAGGTGAAGTGCGTCTTGAACTATTACCACTGCGCCATTCATTATGACCGTCTTATTTGGGGTTCGATACAATTATAGCAAAGATATATACAATGACAATATTTCACAGGAACATAAAAGGTGCTCAGGTGCAACAGAACACGACAAATCCTGCAGAGATAGGTGTATGGATCCAACTGTTACTTCTATTACAGAATTCCTTCAGGAAGAGTTATGAGTTTATCTGCACGACTCGACCCATTCTTACATCAAGACACATCCTTCACTTCTATATAAAGCTTTAGATTAAGAGTCATGTCTGATTGACTCACGGCAGGACCGGATAAAAACTGCCACTGCAGAATGAATCAAGCACGGTCGTAAAGCCGGGTCAGATTGGCAAGGCATGTAGGGAGATAAATAGGGGGATATGATTCTCCTAACAGAATATATAGTCACTGGAATCATCATTAATCCTCTTCACACAAACTGGCAGCGGTTTATAGCATTCAGCTGTAGGTTGTGGACTACTGAAATGTTGGTTAGCTTAAAAAAATGGATTCACCTCTGATTATTAGTTAATAGTAAATATAATCAATCACATAACTACCCAATCGTTATACATCATGCCAGGTAGTACTGAATAGACAAGCAGTGCTCACATTTTCTTTAGCAAAAATAGTGATGCACTGATATTAAAATTCTGAAGTTCAATATGTCTTCATGTTTACATGTCTTTCATATCCAAAACAAATAAACATCACACATCACATCCAGGCTTCCTTTCACCTCAAGGGTCAGACGAAGACTGGAAGACTGAGCTGGATTACGCAGGGAATGACTGCACCTTCCTGAACAAAAGCCAATGCTTCCTACACCATGGGCCTCCTGATCACCATGTGGGTCAGTGCTCTGACACCAGACAACTGTCACTCTACCCTACAGCTAAAGATTATTCTAACACACCTTACACAACATACAGTAGCTGTGAGACCAGAAAAAACACTCCAATCAGGTTTAGAGCTCATTTATGGGGCGGTCTGTATTGTTGTTGATAAGTAACTGCTAGCCTCTGACGTTCCTGCGAGTCTGCGGCCGTGTAATCTGTGGGAAAAGTGAGGCTACCAGCAGCTGTTCACCTGAACCCAGTGTGAGTGCAGAGAAGGGCGATTACATAAGCCTCTGTACTGTAGTAGCTGAATACTTCCAGACTTGTCCAAAACAATACACTTCACATAACTTAGAGGTGAATGTGTAATAGAATACATTATTATAACAGCATTTCCAAATAATTTGAGACTTGCATAATTTAACATTTTTGTAAAAGTTTACAGCATTTCACTAGATTTGTAATAATAATAAAAAAAAGTGTAAACCTTAAAAGGTACAATATGTAAGTTTTCACCGCTAGAGGGTGCGTATTCAAAACAAACAAAGGCGTAGTTTGATGACGCCATGTGGAATCATGGGAGTTGTTGTCTTCACCCCCACAGCTGACGCAATCCGACGGGACTCAGGCAGAAATCATGTTCATGGATGAGCTAATGTATTAAAGATTTATTAACATTGTAGTATGAAGCAGAGTGAGGCGGAAAGCCATTGAAGTGAAACGAGGCCGCTGAAGCAATTGCTAATGAGAGACAAGAGTGACACACGGCTCGAAAGCAGCGGAGCTTTTATTATGCCACACTTTAGCGCTTCCGCTCATTCCGGTCGTGCATATTCAGAAGACAATGAAACCGAAACCAAATAGAGTTGAAACAGGAAGTGAAGTAAACAGAAGAGAATGACAAAATAACGGTCCACATAACAGAACATAAACCTGACAATAAGATTGTTAGTCTATCGTTAGCCTATATGTCTAACAGTTAGCCTAGTTGTAATCTGATTTTCTAATCTGACTGGACAAGAGACTTTCTATTGATATTTCCATCTGCGCGCGTTCTAGATGGGATGTCAGTCAGTGCAGTTACAGTGTTGCGCCACAAGGTGGTGGCTGTCATTCAACTACACGTTCAAAAACGCGGATTCATTCATTCAAAGAGATGTAATGAAACACGCTGTTGAAATCATTTTAACTTTGAGCGCCACTTTAGAAGGCTCAGCTGACCAGCTATGCGTCGATGCTAAAACAGAGATTACGTTTTCCTTGGACATGACAACCTATTTTCACAAATATGTATGACTCGACCTGGAGGACAGACACAAGTAATCGCACGCGCTCAGTCGATTTCTTTCTCATTCACAGTCTGTTTAGGCTTGTTAAGTGCAAATCTACGGAGCCCCTGTACAAATCAGCATGGTTTAATATTCAGTCCACATGCATGAAGTGCAAAACGAGAAGGGCATAACTATAAAACATAAAAAAGAAAACACGCAAAAATCGCGGTTGCTCCTGTTCTTACATTCCTCTGCGGTTTGCTCATCAATAGAGCGGTAATGCGATATTGCGGTTATCGCAACAGCCCTAGCGGTCATCACCGGTCTAATAAAACACACAACATATTAAGGGGGTCCTATTATGCTTTTTCACTTTTTTAATTTTAGTCAGTGTGTATGTTTGGGCATAAAAAAAAATCTAGAAAGTTTCAAATCTCAAAGTCCACTCCAAAGGGAGATATTTAGTTTTTAAAAAATCTATTTTCAAGAACTACAGCAAACGGCTCCGGGCTTTATGATATCACAAAGCGGCTCATTAGAATTTCATTACAAATAATTCCCGCCTACAGAAATTCGAATGGGTGGGGAGGGGCGAGGTTGTGGTTAGAACGCTTGGTTGAGTGAGCGCATGAGACGAGACGAAGAAGAAGTGCTGCTGCAGAGTTAGTGCGTCAGAGAAAACCAAGAAGAAGAGCTGCTGTGCTGTAGCCTCAAATTTTTGGCATGTCTAGAACAGTGGTTCTCATGTCCAGTCCTCGCGTACCCCCGCTCTGCACATTTTGCATGTTTCTCTTATTGCTTCATACGTTTGTTATATTTGACTGTAAGTGCCCTGCGAAGTGGACATTACCGGATATTCCTCCATGATTCCAGTTTGAAGGGAGCGTATATGTTCCATACAAAGGGCATTTAAGTGTGCGAGACGTGAATTTAAATTGTATTTATTTACAGAGGTATATTATGTCCCACTTCACGCTTCTCTAGTAAGTTTCGTTTGTGTGTGAAGACGCTGCAGGCAGTGCCGCAGCGCAAATCTGTAAATGAATATTCCGAAGTGAAGTAAACTTCAACGGATTTCCCCTGCTCAGGGAGTAGGGAGCAATGGACACTGTGTAGGGAGCATGTCAATCGGAACACAGTTCATGCACGGAGCTCACGTCTAACGAGATGATCTGAATCAGGTGTGTTAACAAAG